GCCGAGATCCGAAAAGCCGAAGTCCAAAGGGAAAAACCATAAGCCGAAATGCCTCCGTTGCCGGGAGGCAGGGTTCGTAACACTCATTTCCGGTTATTGGCTGTCCTTCCGGTGTTTCTCTCGCTGGGGCTATATATTTCCGGGTCTTGCACTCTGCCCTTGCTCAGCATTGACGTTCAGATGTCCTGAGACCCGCCTAGCACCAGGTCGCCCCACGTCCGCTAACTGAGGGCATTGGTTTCTATACGGTACTCCTGAACTCTTTGCACGAACGAGTACAGGTCCCGCCTGACTCCCCGTTCCGCTGCCTTGCATAGGGTCTTTTTCCACTCTCCTGCTCTCCACGGTTAGTCCCTTTGGACGTCCCTGACAGCTGTCACATCCAGGGTGTATCCTGCCTTGTGTTTATTGCTTGCTGGGATAGACTCCAGCTCCCCCTAAATCCTGTATTAGATAAAGCAGTAAAACAATGAATGAATGGAGATTGGGAACTGCAGTTATAGTAACTACGAGGCTTGCAGATACAGCCTGAATGAGTGTAAATGTCAGAATAATTACCACAGTTGGATATAGTCTTGGGCTTCTTCCGGATAACTTACTGTAAATAGTGTGTTACAATCTATTTTTTACCCACTGAATCCTAGTAACCTACTCTGAACATTCAAAATTAAGGTCGTGGTTAAGGTCAATGGACTGGTGTCCCATTCGGGGTCAACGGATAGGGCACAATCAGTGCAATAAGTTCAGCAACAATTGCTCTTCTAGAGCACAAGAAAAGTTAAATGGCTACTGATTGCTTTGCAATACAACATGACATACAGCACAAGCACAAATCCCTCTTTTTCTTTATTAGAATTAACAACTTGTGCTGTTTGTTTGATTAAAAAAATAAAAACAGAAGAAAGATGTAATCAGATTTGCATTTGGAAAAGAGTACAGTATGTGTGATGTCAGTCATGACTCATGATGAGAAATAATTTTCCTGGCCTCTCCTACTATTTTGGGGGCAAACCATTCCCTTTCACTAAGCTCCCCAAGAAGCAGGCAGAAAGAAAAAAGGCAGGAAAGTGGCAAATGTATGAAAAAATGCTTTCAGCTACACTTGCAACTACTGTAAATAAAGCTGCTCTATTTCATTTTCACCACCACCATAATCAGCAAAACTTTAAATTAAGGAGACACATTTCATCAAAGGGGATTTACAGTAATTGCAATTTGCTACCTCAAAAATAAGACAGATAATAATAAGACTGATAAGAAAAAAATTTAAAGCATTACAAATAAAATAATCTTGGAGACATTTCTCTAAAACGAAGAAGTTTTATTTATTATGTAAAATTATTTGATGCTTACTGTCCATTTTGTGTATAATAATGCGTTTTTGATAGACGGGGCATAAAACATTTCCCCTTCCATTTAAATCTAATTTCTGAGTTTCCTGCTGCACAAAATAAACGATCCTTAATCTTCAATATTACAGAATTGATTTAATCAGTCAGGGAGAGTCGGGGACACGTTGCAGTGTTTTTTAAAACTTCTGGTGCTTTCAAAAACGTGAAGCAGTACGTCAGGTAGATTCAAAATGCTGTTTTTATGTACAGAAATTAGTAGTGAAATCAACACGTGCTTCAAAACGCACTGTAAAAGACAAACATTTGCGAAGTTTGAGAACTGAAACGTACAGTAAGTGTAAATTAAATTTTTTTAAGTTAAAAAATCTGCAGCGGACCTGACATTCATATTAAGAGCTGGGTTTCTCGTGGGCCCTTATTGCTACTGAACCTCTCTTGTGTAGAACTAGGAGTTCGACTTGCAATAAACGACAAACTAGCCAATCGTTCGGTGCAACTGACTGATGCGAAATTGACAGTTTGGTTGCGGCACTCTGTAGTACTACTACTACAACCAAAGAACCAATGAGGTAGGAGCGGGGCGGAGAGCTCACTGCGATGTTACTAGAGTACTGCAGGCAGCTGTAGAAGTGTCTTGCATTAGCAACAAGCAGTCTGCTGAGGTAGTCAATGGATTATACTGTGTCACTCCAAGTGCAGCATCAGCTAACGGTGTTTCCTACCCATTTATACCAGGGATACAGTTTGGAGTTACAGGTATGGTTTGATTACAGTTGTTATGTTGTATTTGTGGTATTCTATCCCAAAATAATTTCCTCCTTTAAACTTTACTCAAGCTAGATTTGTACAGCAATTATTCATGTAATACGTTCTCAATACATTGTGCTTTTCACCACCCTTTGTACTTCTGGAGTTATAAACGGAGGTAGTGTATAGCACTCTGTTGTCCTGTATTAATGTACAGTATCTTTTTGCTCATCGGGGAATTGTTCTGTTTTGATTTGGGTAGTTGCGTTTGAAACAACGTGGATGTATTTGTTTTAATGCACACCCAGACTGTAGAAGCGATATTTATACAACACCAGAGATCTGAAGATTGGATAAGAATACCTCGAGTAACTGACATACGCAAACGTTAAGTTGTTTCGTACAGTACTGTACAGAACATCTGATTCTCTAGCACAGTGGACACGGTAGTACTGGAACCATACAAGTATTGCAGTGTCTTCTAAATAGAAACTACTTCACCCTGTAAACCATAAATAGGTGCTCTGGGGTTATTTGTGTAGAAACTTTGAATGGATCTCTCGACTCCACTGTTTTCTACCAAAGGGTTCAAAATAGGTGGGTTACCATTTAATATGGATGTTCTATACTACATTTGCTCTGACATTAGTAACGTTGTGCTTATACTGTACCTTGGTCACCTCCTGTAACTGTATCACATCTTGTTTCTAAACGCAGATTGTAATTTACAGAGCAAACGTGCTAGCCTGATTGACAGGTTGCTTCGACGGTTTCCAGGGGAAAAAGAGATGTACCCCTTTTGTTGCACTTGTCTGCAGTCTACGGGATATATTAACATTAATGTTTAGGTAACATGGTATGTTATTATATAAAATAGCCAGCACTGACATATTGTCGTATACATTTCGAAAATATTTAAATTTACCGTAAAGTCTTTAGTATCGTAGAAGTAATGAATCTTTACAGGTTTTGCACGACTTAATTGTTCTATTATTATCATCACAATGGTGGGTTGTTGGTTGTTGCATATTACAGTTTTATATCCAGTTGTGTTCCTCAGTGTTTTTCCCCCCACTGGGTTAATTGTTTTTTAGCTTTTCTTTGATTTAATACTTAAACATGTGGAATTATTCTGATTAAAAGTTGTCTTTAAAATATACTGTAAAATATCCAGTAATAATCTCGCACATACATTTTGTTTTTATGATCCATTCCTTGGATTGGGTTTTTCTCATAGAAATAATAATATTTTACCATGTGCAGAATTTATATCAACATTATAATATTTACTTGTTTATCGGAGTGTCTATGAATTAGCGCATTACGATTGTGTCTTATCAGTTATGTAAGCACGACTTTATTGTTTTAATAGAAAAATATCGGTCTTCAGTTAGAGACCTAATCTGTAGCTGCACTTCAGTAATTTAAATCTACTGTTCAGTCAGACCACTTGATAGGAACAAGAGGGTGTAAAAGCAGAGGGTCCATCTTTTTTGACGTAAACTTTGAAAATACAACTGAATACAAATACCATGTATTTGATAGCGAATTAGCAAATACGCATCGATTGCAGGGCTTTTACAACCTAGCAGGTGCTTTTCATATAGAGCAGCAGTTGATCATAGGTGATGCAGAAATACTCAGGCGTCATCTTCGAGCTTCACTTGTCCTCCCTGAAAACAAATTCACGTGTCTTCCACAGTAACTGTGGGCCGTACATGTATTCCATATTTCGGAAAGTAACTATTTTCTTTACAGGTGCAACTGATTTTTACAGTAAGCTGTCAAGTACAGAATATCCAACGCACAACAACTAAAAGTGAACAGTGGAATACAGTAGCTTTCCACTTATTTATAATGAAACGTAAGATTAGTTTGATATGCATTCATTTAAAAAAATCCACACTAGTCCTTGAAATCTCAAGGCTCAAAGGTTTCGGTAAAACCGTACGTCTTCGCCCCTTGTTAGTAAAGCATTGAAAACGTTAAAAGTACAAATAAGAACAGTAAAAATAACTAAATAATAAGAGCACTGTAGTAGGAAATTATGCAGAAGATAATGTTCTCTTCTTACTTTTTAGCGCTACGGATAAATCTAATAGATTGTGAAGAAAACAATCACGTTTTTCATCAAATGGACTGTCAGTCCATTTGGACTATCAGTGAACAGACAGGTGCAAACTGCAACGAACCACGCGGAGGCTTGTCAGCATCACAGTAACACTATATTATAAAGCCAGTTGAATTTAATGTAGGCAGCTTGGTGGTGTCGTTGGGATAGATGTGTGCTTCCGGACTGGAGCACATTCTATGTGAAGTTTGCATGCTATTCCTATGTCAGTATGAGTCTATGGACGCTTGTGTTTCTTCCCATTTTGCAAAGACTTGCTGGTTAAATTGACTGGCATCCCTGAATTGTTCCTAGGGGCAGTTGAGTGTGTGCCTGTAAGTACTGGCATTCTATCCACGGTGTATCCCACCTTGTCTTACAGTATGGTTCTCGGATAGCCTCTGCATTACCGTGACCTTTAGCAGAAGTAAGTAGCTTTCTGATGTTGGTTGGAAGAAATTTACAAAACCTACTCAATATTAAGCATTGTTTTATTGTAAAGTACTCTAAATTAGTTAAATTTGAAATTACTATGGAGATCCACCATTGTGTCATGTTATTTACAATTTACAATATTATTTACAACCTATTGAATCAATAAACTTATTTTTGGTGGCAGTTGTGATGATGATTTGAAGACTGAAAATAAATTATAATGGGCTTTGATTGCAATTTGTTGTGCAGTCAATTGTTTGATTCAGACTACCAGAAATATTCTGCTCAAATAGCTTGGAATACTACTAGTCTAAATTAGTGTTGCCAAGTTGGTGTATTTTATGCTAGATCTAGCAGAAGCCAATTAACAGTGAATGAATTAGCCCTTTGGCTGCAGAAATCATGGTACTGTGTAATGTGCTGCAATTGGGAAAATTGAGTTCATACTATAGCTTCCTCAAAAGGAAGGATTATATTCATTTTACATTTAAATTAATTATTTTTCAAACACCTTTTGTGATAAGGGGGGCTACATTTATAAAAAAACATTTGGAAAAAGCAGTGTGTTCATATACTTTATATATAAAGTCAGTGCATGTGTATCTTCAATGTTTCAGTGTACAATATCTTCAAAGTCTTTCTGTATCACATCTGGAGTTTGTCTTCTAACAACGGTGCAACGACTAGCAATAGACAATAACAAAATACTGGATTTTTACTGCCCATACGTCACTTTTTCGTGTCCCTTGTTTGCTGGTTTTCTAATGTCAATTCAATATCCTGCTACTTCTGCCAGTTCCATGCTCACCACCATTGGTGAGATTTTGTAAGATGTACTGTATTTTAGGGACACTGGTCCTGGATGTTTTCCAACACAGTACCAGCAGGAGTCCCTAGAGCATTCTCTCACAGCTGTGAAGCAGACCTAAATTCTAGTTCAATAAAGATAATGGGAGCATTAGTAACCTTTTTTAATCCTACCTCCAAATTAGGTGACTGTTTTGCTCTATGAGACTGAGGGTCGATTCATAATAGTTCTATCAGACATACAGTATAAATTGCAGAGCAGAAAAAAACCAACACAATATATCTAACAATTCAAAGTGATATTTGTATTAAACTAGTGTTGATTGGTTGCTTTTCTATCTTTCTTTAAGTTTAGTTTGCCGATGGAACTGCATGAAACAAGAAACATTACATTTCTTGTAGGGGGGTTAATGACCATGACTGATATTAATGTTTAAAGTTGGAGATCAGCTGTCAGACATTGTATTGATTAATTTGCACCTTTTACCCTGGTGAGAACAAGAAAGGGAATTCTTCAACAAACTATGTTTTCAGGTTTCAAGTGCCAACTGTGTTTAATTAAAATAGAAATCATTGCTTGAATGATAATAACTTGGCAACAACCATAGGAAAATCCTCCTTCAAAACCCATAAGCAAGGTAAATGAATACATTAGAACTTATCTTGTTTTGTGATCAGCATATAGTGCTCTTGAAAATGCCAGTTCACCTTGAAAGGATTTTACAAATGCCTTATTCTCATGTCTATCCTCACATTGTCATGTGCCAAAATGGTAAATACTTTCCAGCTCTAGTTATTATCTTCTTTGAATATTAATTGCCTGACTTGTCTTTTGCGTAAACAGAATGAAAAGCTGTTATTATGACATACAGTAAGTGTGAGTTGCAAGATGTTTCATAAGTATATTAGCATGTTTTGATGGTTGTTGCTTATCCCTGACCAGACTATACAGTAGATATTATTTATCCGCTTAGACCTAATGTTTTTAAATATTCCAGTATGTCTCTGGAGCTTTAAGCTTATTTTGGAACAAGGATTTTGTATCTCCACTAATGTAAAATGGGTGCTGCTTTATTACCAGAAAACAAAATATTAATAACATGTCTAATAAAGTACTTAATCCTATTTTCTAATTAGCTGAATCCTTCATTTTAATTAAGAAACAAACTAGGCTTTACAGCAATTGAATTTTACTTAGTGAGAAGGTTGACAAAAATAGCAATGTGATTATACTGTTATCACCTTGCATTGTCTGAGTTTAGGGAGCATTGAATTGTTATAGTATTGCTCATTATTGGCATGGAGATTGATTCAGTAATTATGAAATCTACATTTGAAGTGCATATATTGTATGACACTTCAGAAGATTAAGGTGAGATTGCTTTGATATTGAAAGTCACAAACCCCAACTAACTCTTAGAAGTACTCTTTTTCTACTTAAGGCAAAGAACAACATTTCAGCTGAAAAAAAGGAAGTTCAATTAAACCAACAATCTATTTCTTTTTTAATTTTTATTTCTTGATGAATAATATGTTTTTTGTAAAATTGTAAGAACTTGGAGGAGTAGAAACTGTGATTCTTCCATGGGAAATATAGTTTATTTATAACTATTACTTGAATCTGTAATGCACTTTTCATCCAGAAGAATCTCAAAGC